CTACAACCCATGTCTAAGCAAAAGCTTGTCGAGGAGCGAGGGGAAGAAGGGAGAAGTAGTGCCTGGTGTCGATACGTTGCCCTTATATTTATTTATTTTTCTTAANACGCGCATGCCTCGCGGCGGATATGCGCAGCAGCAAGAAGGTTTCGGTCATCCCTTGAGGGTGAGTCTAGCCCTGCTCGCCAGAAAGACCCCCCCCTTCACTACAACCCATGTCTAAGCAAAAGCTTGTCGAGGAGCGAGGGGAAGAAGGGAGAAGTAGTGCCTGGTGTCGATACGTTGCCCTTATATTTATTTATTTTTCTTAATAAATATGACACAACGAGTCCATCTCTATCATAGAAAAGAGTCAGAGACAGATTAACAATGGAATCATAGCGTCAGCGAAAACTACATGTGTGTTTTTTCTTTGGGCGGATGTGGGAAGCGTCTTCGTTTATTTTTGTTTTTGTTGTATTTTTGCTGTAGTCTACATTTTGATCGGTTTCCGAGGGCTCTTTCCTCGAACGGTCGGTGCGATACCTGTCCTTTTCTTTTTCCGAGTGGTTTGTACCCCATTTTTTTTTTTTTCCGCGGCGTCGTATGTGCCGGGTTTTGAGACCACGGGCTCCCCATTTGTTGTAGACTATAGAGCTAGTGTGAGAAACAACAACACCAACAACTGATCCAACACTCGACGCGGTCGAGTCCCGTGGTCGCAGGCTAACTTACCCTAAAAAGGTACACTCAAATTCTTGCCTCTTGGATTGAAAGCACCATGGGTCGGTTGAGGTTCCGCCGCGTTTTGGGGGGGTTTGACTGTTGAGCTTTAGTGCTGTGCGGTGTGCGGTACGGAGTTTGACAGTTTGATCCTGCTTGTGTCGGTCGACATATATTGCATTGGTCTACGGCCGTAGTGCTTCACCTTGAAGGTTTGGCTCTGCTGTGGGCTTGTACAGCACGGTAGAGAGCGAATGATACTTACGTGTACGTCCTTTTGTCAACGTGCAGCACGGACAGCAGCAGCAGCAGGGTGATCGGCCAGTGCCCAAGAAGCGCCATCGCCCCAGAGGGATCTTTGGCCGTAATTATCTCAGTGAAGCAATGAAGGTATGACCAAAAGCAAAGCGGGAGAGATGATACACGTTCACAGCGACACGACACGCAGTCCCTACTCAAATTCCGTCCCCGCGGTGTCGCTGTATAGACTATTATCTGTGTCAAGTGGTCATGCGCATGTTTTGGTATTTGGTACCCAAGGTACCTTGTCCACAGCAGTGTATGCTTGCCTTCACAACCGACTCCACCATGAGTGTGGAGGGCGTGGGTAGTTCCCATTTCATAGTCTCATCCCCCGGCCGCAGCAGACAGCAGTGGCATTTTTCCGGCGAACCATTTGTATGTACTGCTGTATGTTATATGCTGCTGCAGCAGCAGTGATAAATGTGCTGCAAGAAGCAGTGATTTCTACACTTTTTTCATACATGCTGTACAGCCGTACTACATTGTGTTCCGCTGTGTTGCTCTTTCCTGTTTCACTACATACATTGCTGTTCAGTGGGCATTCCACTACAAGACACACCTTCACGCTGCTAAGGCGTAGTGTGGAGGAAGGACTAGCAAGCGACCAAACACATCCTATTGGTAACACATCCATACAGCCGATCAAATATAAAAATACAGGTTCTCGCGGCGGCAGCGGTGCTCGTGCACCTACCGGCTTGCCTTGTCCGGGGACATACGGTTCTTCCGCCCCCATCTTTGATGAGAGGGGGGCTTTCCGCGCGCGCCGCGGGGGCAGGGGAGCGGTACGATGGCGCAGGGCGGGCGGAGCGAGACACGCACAGAAGGTTAGCGCTTAGTTTGCGCGGGCTCTGCTAGTTGTTTGTCCGGTGGTCGCCGCGCTCGGGGTTTCGACAGTGTCGATATCTTGTCGTTGTAGCTGCTGTTTCTGCTATTGTTGTTGTGGTTGTTGTCGCAATATGCTCTGCGGTAGGATTTGGATGTTCTTTGGTCAGGGTTTAGTTCGCTGGGCATGCGGTGCGACAGCGGGTCTGTCCGGCGTGAGATCCATGGATTCTTGCATGTGGTGTTCGTCTTCGCTGTCCAACACGTTGGGCTCGGTGCTGGGCTCAGAGCCTCCACGAACAGCAGCTGGTCTCCCTTCTCGAGCGTTTTTTGCTTTGCTGCTTTGTTTCAAGACCGCTGTTTCAATCTGGCATGTCGTACACCGCATTCATTTAGTTTGATGCAGACCCCTCCCCTTTGGGTGAGAGTTTAGCAAACCGGTTTGCCTTTGAAAGGGTTCTCGTGCGTACGTGCGTCCGCGGGGGTCAAGAACAACTGTTGTGACTGTTGTCTGCCTGGTCGCCTCCCTTGTTCAAACCACGGTTATCCGCCGGTGCGCAAAGGGCCGCTCAGGGAACGGGTCTCGCTCGGCCTGGGCAGCACCAGTCGCTATCGCTGTCGCTGTCGCCGTCGCTGTCGCCGTCGAGCGAGGACGATCAGGTCTCATCAGACGGGAAGACGTCAACGGCAACAACAACAACAACAACAACGGGTGATGCATGCTTCGGGTGCTGCTTGTAGTCGGCTTTGGTGTCTGCAAGGCGTATGCGATTGAGGGTTCATCCCACCGCGTTCGTGCGGGGTCACGGGGTCAATTTTGTATCCTTCGGTGCCATTACAATATGGCCGCGTGTAAGAAAAATTGTTTCGTCTTTGCCACCTCCAGTCCCTGGGAAATCCCGAAGAATTGATCGTTTTCTTTCATCGTGGGCCACCCGCCGCCCCCCTTGGCAGGCGCGTCATGGGACAAGCGCCCCGCGACACAAAAACCATTGCTACTGCTTCCGAGGTCGGCCAAGTCGGTTGCACCACCGAGGATGTTCTTCGCCTCGTTGATGTCGGACCACAGCGTAACGCGACAGTAATCTCGTCGTCGAGCCGCAAAAGACACGAGAGGCGTGTTCTGGTGCACGTGGGAAGTAGTCGCCGGGTTGGAGCGTGTACTGCACCCTAGGTACCTCGGCGGGATATTCAAAACCTCACCGGTCTCCCTCCGGTCGTGCTACTGTTTTCAGCCTTTCGAACGCTCGGTTTTGCTTGTGGTGTTGTTTTTCAGGTGGTCAGTACTACCGAGGCGGCAGCTCCACACGCCAGGGGTTCCTAAAGGCCGGCGGCCTCGCTGCTGCCGGGGTGATCGCCGCCATGGGAGCTGTACCTGGGACGATCGTGGAGGGTCGGGGGAGGGCTCTTGAAACAGCGGAGGCAGCAATAGGAGTGGACGAACCAGCGGTATTTCAGAAGGAGGCAAGTCCGAACTTGGAGCTTACCTCGGGGTCGAGAATCAACAGCGTATTTTGCTGACTATGGCTTGTTGTTCCGGTCGAGGTTTCCATCGGAGCTCGTCTTGCTATGTTTTTCGCCCATGGTTGCGTGCCTATCTGTTCTCCTCACCCCTGCTTGCTGCACGAAAGTTGGTTGATTTTTGAAATACTCAGACGATCGCAAATTTGCTCGGTTCGGATGAAGTGCAGCCGTGCGGTTTCAGCTGGTGCAGGTGACCAATAGCCAACAGACGAGGGTAAGCTGCAACCCCCGTGCCTCCTGCTATTTTCTGGCTAAGCCCGCGCTCGTGTTTCGGTGACAGGTTTTGTCTTACGTGAGGGAGGCGTTGCCCGGATGGAGAACCCTCCCTGACGGCGACATCCAGCTGAAACAGGTGCATTGATCAGCGTGCTTGCTTGCCGAGACAATCGCTGCGCGATCCCATGTCATGTGTTTGAATCGCCTGTCTGCGCAAACCGCAGGCTTCTACGGTTGGAGTAACCGTGAACGTATGAGTGATGGCATGGACAGACTACCAAAGGTCGATTACCCCTCAACCAAGGCCGTACGATTACCGACCGACACGTTCGAGACAAACTCCCCGACAAGGTCTTTCAATCCGCACCGTTTTCTGCGTTGAAATACTCTTGCCTGTGGAGCAATCGAGCGATGAAGGTCGTTGTACATGTATGCGATGACTCAAATTTATGCTTGCGATCGCCGCCCGGCTCTGTCGGCTTGCGTCCGTTTCAAGTCGCTTCTGTGCAGTAGCAGCAGGATTGGGACGACACAAGTGGTGATTTGATTCGGGGCATCGCTATATGCCTCTACCGGTTTGTGTTTTGTTTTTGTTTAGACGTTGCTCCCGTCCGTCCTACGGCTGTGCGTTGTAGATCACCGGAGGTATCACGAATGTGATCTTCAAGGCTCGAAACGCCGCCACCGGGGAGGGAGCCCTTGTGCGCGTCTACGGCAAGGACACCGACCTGTTGCTGGATCGGCGGTGCGTCGGCCAACACCGCGAGGTCCTTCCCTACTGTGGCTGTCCTTGGTCATTATTTCCGAATGCGTTTTTGTCTTGCGCTTTTTCGGGCAATTTGACAACCAATCATGTTTCATTTTTTGTTTTAGAGTTTTCATTGCGCTCGATGTATGCTTGGCCCATCACAAGCAAGAGCTGTGCCAGCGTGTCAGGGTAACTCGCGCCTCCACTTGCTGTTCTGTTGGGTGGTACCTCCAGCTCTTGTCGGGGTCGTTTTGACGTCATTTCGTAGATTCGCCTTCGCTGCGTCACATCCGTTGACCGGCCTGATGTAGTGGAGCCGAATTTGAGACAATTTTCTCTCCCCTGGGTTATCAAGTTTTGGGTTGAAGGAACACTTCCCTTTAGGCAAGCATTGCATGCCACAGGGATGACCGATCTGATGCATATCATTTCTCCAACAGCCGGTTGGGTATTGCCGCCGCTGCGTGGCGGCCGGCCATCCCTATCGTTTCAGCACGTACAACCGTTCACACATTTTCCGGCAGGCCGCAAAAGCTCGGCTACGCGCATTCCGTTGAAGCATCCAAAACACCTAGCTACCCGTTTCTTGTGTCACTTCAATAGTGCCGCAATACGTAGACGCCGCTGCTTTTTTTTTCGTTGTGGATGTCTCGTTTGTCACAGAAAGGAGGCCGCGGTGTTTTCGGAGCTGTCTACCCTCGGATTCGGGCCTCGAAAGCTTGGAGAGTTCAAGGGTGGAAGGTGACAAGTGCGCCTTGCAGTGCAGAGGATATAGCTCTTGAGGCATCAACCCGAACGTGTGTGCCTGGTGCTTGCTCGCTTTGTTTCGTTTGTTTTCCCCCTCCCCGTCAGGGACTGCCGAAAATTAAAAATTCCTCGTCCTGACACTCGCCGGATGTAACTATTTCGATTCTCATTTTGGCATATTTGTTCTTCCCGTGACGTAACGTTTAGGAAACGTCGCCGGCCAAGCACACCTTCTGGCGTGGTGCATGTGATCACCAGCAGTAGCAGCTCTCCTGTAATACCAGCTGACTATTGAGTGCTGTGATCGAAGCACGTGAATACGGCTTCGGGTGACGATGTTTTTTTCTCGAGAAATGTTTTTTGTCATTTTTCTGGAGCCCTATCGCTGCTACAAACCCCCGAAAATGACGGACAAATTCCGGTCTATTTCATCAACACGGTGGTCGACCCATAGTCAGGTTCTTCGCCGGAAACCCGCGTAGCATTTATCCTCCAAGACAGCAACAACGCAACCGCTAGCGTGATTGGGCTAAGTATGAACGGGCGAATGGCCTTTTCCAGCCCGAAGCATGTGAACTCGACACCACGTCAGCTCTTTTGGTCGTTTAATAGTTGTATGCGTCTGAGCACTCTTGTATTCATTTTTCGCGGGCTTCCAGAGTAGTGCCTGCGGCTGGCTGACTTTTGTGGCCTCCCTACCCACGTCACGCTACCGCGGTCGATGATGTCAAGGATTGAGGAGCTGCTGGACGCTCGGGCGGCCACCCCGGAGGAGCTGCTGCAGACCTCCCCCTTCGACGTGCCTCAGGCCATCGCGGTACATCGCGGTTTTCTACGTATTGTAGAGCGGTTGTGCTTTCATCTACATGAGACTTCTGTTTGCACCGTTAGCGGGCGCGAAAGGTGTGCAAGAACGTCCTGGTGCCCGTTCTTTGGGCTCTACTTGATGCCCCAGAAACGAAGGGCCGTACGGTGATACCAATCCACACGTGCCAGCACCACTTCTGTCAACGGCATCAGCAGCAAACAAAATGACAACACCAGAGCTTGTATGACACCCACAGCCATCAACAATGAAAACGATTCTACGAGGCTGATGAATTCGTTATATTTTCTTGCCCGCTCAGGTTCAGCTGGCGAGCCTCCACGGGCAGCGAGTCCGTTCCAGCGCCGGTTCGCCCGACAGGCCCGTCATGTGGATTAGCATCGACAAGTGGTTGAAAACCGCCACTCGCTTGGACTCCACGAAGAGTTTTCCGCTGGCCAAGGTAGGCTCGACCATTGTTCCCCTTACCCTTACCCCGAAGGCCTCTGCTCTTCGCGGTAACAGCGCTCTCTGCCTTCTTCTTGATCACCTCCAAGGTGCCCTCACCGTACCGATTTTCGAGGGTTACGAAGCGTTGTGGGGCATCTGCTTCTCACTTGCGGAGGTCCCCTTCAGACGAACCTTTTCCCGCCTACGGGGGTCTGACGGAGTGCACGATTCTGCAGTCATCCCTCAGATCAACTGCTCCATCCCGCACTTTTTACCATTGCGCACTGTATTCAGTACGACGGCAGCGTTGGCTCGCGCATGGGGAGCGGTGGACGCTGTTTGACTCTTTGAATTTGTCCGTCTCGGCGAGTTTACTTCAAGAAGTCCCGCAGCCTTCCATCCTGTTTGGTCAAAACAGAGAGAACCCAGTGCGAAACAGTTTTGCGGCTGTGCATCCAAGCCTGTTTCTCATGTCATCCGCCGTACAAGCGTTTTTAGTTTTAAAAAAAATCCTCTCGACCCATCTAGAAGCAAATCACGTCCTTCCGGGCATGGGTCAGTTTCTTCCCGGTAACTTCTCTATTGTATTGTTTCTAAACAAGGAAGCCCAGCGCCAGGAGCGATTTCAGGGTCAAGGGAATACAGCACACGCCGCCATTTTATCCGCTCTTGATTTAGGTAACCCTCACGGCTTGCTTCCTCTGTGAGGAAACCAACCGAGAGTGCCAAAGTCTCAGAGTGTCGAAGTCCTTGCACTGTAAGACTTTTTCGCGCTCCTGGTCTTGCTACCACGGGTGTTGGCGCGTTTCTGTACGAGGCTGATTCGTCGCGTCGAATTTTCTTGGCAAGCTCACAGGTAGCTCAGGAGGTGGTGTGGCTCAAACGGAATCTTCCCGGCCCTGCCGCCGTCGCGGAAGGCACACCAGGGTCCCCTGACCAGGCTAGTGCAAATGCGGTGTTTGGTAATCTTGTTTTCGTCAGGCTGGGTGTTGGCTGACGTGGTTGCGGCGTCGCTGATGTCTTTGGTCCAATGTAGCTGGTTGCATGAGTTTGGGCCTGGTTGATACTGCACTCGCTGGGTCTACTTGCGAAAGTTTTCACACGCTTGAGCTGTACGAAATATAGGCACGTTCGATGACCCTCCAACACCGCTCAAGCAGAAGCCTACGGCGGATATATCTTCGATCGCATGCGCTCATGCACCGACGCCTCATAACGCTCCTCGGCTTTCACTCCCCGTTCCATTGTCCCACTCGTGAAACAGAAGCTAGCGGCTGAGATAGCAAACGGCGTCGTCTTCGCGCACAACGATCTGCTGTCGGGTAAGCGGCGGGGACATACAACAGATGGCGCTCATGACTTCACCGATGACGCGCTCATCGCGCCGTTTACGTGTGCGCTAGAGTGGTTCTCGTCCACGTTGGGTATGTTTTCGTTCATGTGGACGTTAGTCATATTCTCGTCGATGATATCGCCTCTCACTTGACAGGCCGAATCGTTTTATTCAGTACTTTTGTTGGCGCAGAAAACGCTACCGCATGTCTCGCCCGGCGCCCTTCCGTTCGCGCACTAGCGCGTGTTCGGGACACGGGACGCTTGTCCGCGGTGCACGTGCACCTCATCTTGGTGCTGTGTACCTCTTTTTGGCAGGCAACGTTCTCGTTGGTCCCCGGGGTGCGAAGGAGATCTCCACTCTCCGACTGATTGACTTCGAGTACTCCGACTACAATCCTTGCGGGTGAGGAATGGTGTGCTGTTTTGTAAGAGTCCAACAGGCGCACCTCTGCGTATTTGCCGTCCAAGCGTTTGTTTTTCTGCCTGGGGTTCTGTACGATTTTTTTATCTGGTGTGATTAATCGTTTGCTTCTGTTTCCCTTTGACAGCTTTTCACGATTCTCGGCGGCATGTTGGCAAGCACCGTGGTAAGTTTTTTTTTTTCATTTGGATGCGTTGTTGGGCGTACCCATGCTTCATCATGACGCGTTTGATGGTGGCTTTGTGTGCCCTTGGCCTCGCCAAATGCTTCGTACTTCACAGCAGATAGCGTGTGGTTTGATGATGGAGAGTGCAACATCTATCACTTGTCGACGCAAGCCTGTGACACAAGGGCGAATTGAAGCGGCTATCCAGCGCTCAGCAGTCACTTACGCTTATACACACCTCCACGATCGTAGGCCGCGCCCTTTTCTTTCCCTTTTCGAACAATGCCTTATTTCCTCATATGTTTTTTTGGTGAAAGTTCAGTGGACGGGCCACAAGGCAAGTTTACTCGTCCTTTCCACTGCTGCGGTAGGGGTATGAACCACAAAATTCCCCCCCCCCTTCGCCCCCCC